ACCATTTTACTTTTATGTTTCAGGTAAGCCATTCTCAAGTTCTGATGAAGCTACCAAAGCACTAAAGTTTTAAGGTGTTTTTTTATACTACTGTTTTTGCAATAAAAAATTAATTAAAATGAAAAAATAAAARTTMAYTYATATAGTTTAAGACTCAATTTAACAAACCCAACAACTTTTAGATCGATATCTTTTATAGGTTTCTTGGAAAAAATTCGCGAAAATAGCCTTTTTTTTAGGTGCTCAGAGTAGAAGGTCCCCTTAAAAAAAAAAAAAATAAATGAAGATTAAATGAATCATTTTCATATAAAAGATTTAATGTAAAAAGGGTTTGTTGTGGTTTCTATGTAAAATCTTATGAGAAAACTTATGGCTCCAGTATACAACACATATCACATGGGGATGGAGGGGAGTATATATAACATATAATAGTTATAGTAATCCAAAACATAGACTCGGGAACATATTTCCTCGGTCGCGTTAAATGCTCGAGCTGCGTCAGATTACGAGACTATTTGTCGCGGTCGACTAAATGCGAGTCGTTCTCTATGACTATGCATCACGAGAAGCTGTAAAAGGAGAAAAAAAAAAAGAATAAAAGAAATAGAGAAAGATAAAGAGAAAGAGAGAAAATTAGAGAAATAGTGAAACCCAAGAGAAGAAAGAGAAAACATCGCCTTGGATAACGAATTGCACTAGAAGAGTATGACGTTCTCTTTATTTTTCTTTATTTCAAATCTTTTACAAATTTATTAACATACTTTACGATCTTTTTCATACATTATTCTCAATAATTTATTTTATTGTTATTTCTAAATTTTATACATTTAAAAAGAACAATAGTTATTATTCGAACAAGGCCCAAGTTACCGACAGAGTATATGCTTTTTCTTTTCAATCTTTTTCTTCAAGCATTTTTCTTTCTTTTAAATCTTAAAAAAATTTATTAACATTCTTTACGATCTTTTTCATACATTATTCTCAATAATTTATTTTATTGTTATTTCTAAAGTTTATATATTTAAAGAGAACAATAAATCTCGAATTATTCGAACAAAGCCCAAGTTACCGACGGAGTATATGCTTAATATTAACAAAATACGTGTACAAATAAATTTATATATATATATATAGATAGATAGATATAATATTATTACACATATATAAATATATAAAAGTTTTGTAATATAAAGGTATACACAGATATATAACGTATGAGTGAGTGTATGTTAGTGGGTTAATGGATATTACGATTCCCATTCGTGCCCTTAGCTCTTTTACCGAACCTTGGGGTGTACTACCCTTTACTGAACGAAACCCAAAGTATCATCGAAAGAAATAAAAGAAAGTAGAGAATGAAAGCACACACACACAAGTAGTAGTAGGAACCTTTTTTTTGTGTTTATTTCACAACGAATAAAGGAATAGAAAAGAGA